AATTATCCTCTAGTGGGGATGGTCATGCCACAGTCCCTTCTCCTCCACCCCCACTCTCCCCCTGGGATTTTTGCACACGTGCCTGCTGTGTTTTTCAAGCCACCAGGTCCCAAACTCGAACTATGCAGTTAGCCATGTGGAATCCGGCCACCTTAACTACCGTGCCCCAGGCTGGCCCAGAGAATAGATTTATGACAGGAAGGAGCTACAAGGGAGAGAGACAAGTGACGTGAGAGTGGCACGTGAGCCATTGCGGACAGCAGCCAGCACAGAAAACTCCAGAGAAACTCAGCTCGCCAGGGGAGAGTGCGGTGGGCAGAGAGGGTTGGACCGTCCTCAGACGCTGCCTCTGTGTGAGCCCCGACGCCCCGCCGTCCAGCCCGGAAGGGCACGCCCCCTGCCATTCAGAACGGCCTTTCCTGGGAGACTCAGAGCTGGCTCTCCTGTACGTGGGGACTTTCTCATGCCATTGGTGCGAGCTTTGCCCTCACCACGACCGCCAACTGCCGAGCAGGCTCCTAGTCATCTACAGTCGTGGCTGCTGGCCGGTGAGCGTCTATGGCCTGCCCACACTGAACACGCCGTGTGGACTGTTACTGAGTCCCCAAGGACGGTGCCCACGGGGGAAACTGAGGCTTGGGGAGGTTCCGTCAGATGGTTAATGGAAGAACTGGCATTTGAGCCAGATCCTTCCAGCTCCACCGCCCACGTGCCAACCTCCCTATCGTCTGTCATCTCCCTGGTGCCCAGACACACTCACTGTCACCCTGGCACTGCCTGGCTGGTGCCAGGACCCATTGCTTCTGACAGTTCAGGCTGCAGGTCAGCCTCCCTCTGGCATCTGGACCTCCGACGGCTCTCCCGAGCTGGGACTCGGCTGTTGGGCCATCATGTGTCAGTACAGTGCTTCCTGAGCAGTGGACGTGAGCAGGAACTTAGGGCTCTCCCGAAGGACAGGATGTTGCTGTGGTTCGCAGTCCTGAAGGGACCACGATAGCCGAGGCCCCGGAACCACAGCTGGGACTCGGTGTCGGCACACGCGCTCTCCTCCTCTGCTCTGCTTGCCTCGCTTGGCTTTCAGCACGTAGTGGGAAAGAGGGCTTGTCAGCACTTCAGGCTTGGTGCCCCAGAGGAAGAGGGCCTCATCTTCCCAGCAGCTGCATATCCATCCCAGGGGAAGTCTGATTGGTCCAGCAGGAGTTCTGTGCCCACTCTGGGGACCAGTCACTGTGGCTGGAGGATGGGGCTCTATGATTGGGGCAGTCTAGTCACATGGCTCTCTGGTGGCAATGGAGAGGGATGGGTGGGAATACTGGGCAGCGTGACAACCTACCGGGAATGTGTGACCATAAGGAGGAATCTCCCAAAGGAAAGGGATGCCAGAAGTGGGATGGCACAAATGGGCTAGAGGCCAAAGTCACTAGCTGTCACTGTCCACTGTCACCAGGTCACGTGAGAGGGGGCAGGCACACAGACTATCTCGGGGAGATGGGCTCACAGACAGGAAGTTGTCCGTAGGGCTGGGAGCAGCCACAGCGATGCAGCAGGTGCCAGGCACGGGGCCAAGTACTTCCACGTGAGTTATCTTACCCCGTGCTCACTGTGACCCGGAAAGTACACGCTATTATCATCCCTATTTTTCTGCGTCAAAGAGACCGTAGGAAACAACCTTTTTTGGCAAGAGATTCAATTCAGGAAAAAAAGTGAAAATGTTTATGGGCTCCCCATCCCCACTCAGGGAGGTTAAGTGACTTGCTCAAGGTCACATAGCTAGCACATTAAATGAACATCCTGAGAAGCATTTGGTTAAAAGCCAAAGAAGTGCTTCTATTTCTCTCTTTGACTCGAGGATAGGGAAGGCTGCTTTGAGGGCTGGGGAAGGCGGATCTAAGCAGATCTGGAGGGTGGGACATCCGGGCAGCTGGCCAGGCCACTGGGAAGAGAAAAGGATGGCTTGATGCCCAACACTCAGGAAGGCGAGCCTGAGCACCACCCGGAACCTGCCTCCTTCCCCTCGCCCTGGCAGCCCTCCAGAGACTTAGAGACCCTTCTCCAGAGTCCTCTTCTCTAGCCTGCCCGATCACGTGGACCATTCTCCAGGGACAGAAGCGCCATCCTGCCACTGCTTCTCCCCAGCTGTTTACCCAGTGCATTGACGACAGCACTGTCACTCCCTTTTCCCAAACATTGCACCTCTGTTAGTGAGACCCAAGATCAATGAGGTACACCCCACCCTCTGGAACCCAGCTCGCTGTCTCCTCGGTTCCCACATGTCTCCCCGCTCTGGAAGAGGGCAGACGGCTTCGTGGACCTCAGACTGCAAACGCATGTCTTCAGGCCCAGCCCTGTTCCAGGCTGTGCCATAGCATTGCAGAGTCCGCGGAAGTGAGAGGGCACTAGATCCCCTTCCAGGAGAACCTCCCCCACCGCACCGGCACAGCCCCGTCCTCCATAACGCAACCTGAGCAGTCTCCAGGAGAGGGAGACCCCGGGAACCCACAGGGGAGGACTTGGAGGCCGAGTGCCACCATGGGTACCCGTAACACCACTGCCGTCCCGGAATCCAAGACTCACTCTCTTGACCCTCACCCAGGTTCATCGGAACTTCAGCAAGGCTGCACTCACTGGCTCCCGCTTCTCACTGACCGCTCCATCCTCAGTGCCTGGACGACACGACCCATGCCACCCTCTCCCACTCCCACCCCCCAAACACGAACTGCCGCCATGTCACCAGTGACCTCCTGTTCCAAGGCCAGTGGACATTTTCCGTTCCTCCTTTCATAGCCACTGCAGCTTCTGCCACCGTCGAGCACTTGTTCCCCCAGCCCCTCTCTTCTGGGCTGTGACCGTCCACCTTCCTGGTGACCGTCCACCTTCCTGGTTCTTCTCCTGCCTGACCACTCCCTCTCCGTCTCACCCACGGACACTTTCAAGGTCCTGGCCTGGATCTACTGCTTTTATTACTTCCACACAGCCTCCCTGCTGGACCTCGTGCCCCCAATAATGACACAAGAAAACGAAACCCAGACAGAAAGCGGGATGGCCATCAAACCACACGCTCTGCCGTCTCCTGCATCTTTCTGCCGGTCTCAAACTGGACTGTCCCCCTTGCCTGTGCTCGCCTCCATCCTCTAAGTGCCTGGTGTCCACTCACCTCCCAGCCTCACCAGTGAGAAGCAGGAGGCACCCCACCCTCTGGCTGGCTCTCCCGCTCACTGGGTCTCTAAGTACTGCCCTGCTCTGGATTACGCTCTGCACCCTGCTCTCCACCTGCCACCAGCCAGGTCTCAGGTCTCAGGTCTCTGACAGGAGCCTCCACAATGCCCCACAGATGCCCCAGAGACCAGCCAGGCCCAGCTCCCTCCCCCGTGTCCCACAAACAACACAAAGTACCCAAGGCCTCCAGGTCTCTCCCTGACCTGGTCTTCCTCCCACCCCCTGGCACAGAGCAGTCAAGCTCTGTCTAAAAGGCCACGTTCAAGGCTCGAACCCCCTCCCCCAGCTCTGCTCCCAGTCCTTGCCCTCCCCACCTCCCCCAGGCTGACAGTCACCAGGGTAACTCCCATTTCTCCTTTGAGATTCCTCCAGGGTTGCCTGCCCCCAGCCTGCCAGGCCTGGCTCCTGTTGCCGCACCCCCGCGTCTACCACTGCCCTAGAACTCGGCCCTGTACTCGGTACCACCCTGCCCTCGGCTTACCCAGGAGGGCACCTGAGCTGTGAGCTCCTGAGATGCTGCGGTTCCTCCTGCTGCCCCAGAGCCCAGAGAGGGGCCTGTACACAGAAAGTGCCGAATAAATGCCAATGGCTGAGCTCAAGGCCCGTGTCAAAGGCGCAGGGGCCATGGGCCCACCGCGGGCCTTCAAGTCCTGGCCCGCCCCGCCAGAGCCGGCAACGAGGGGCTCAGCAAAGGGCAGCGGCCTCCTCTAGGCCCGTGTAAGAGATGGTTCGAGGTATGATGGGGCTGGGGGCAGATCTGCAAGTGGGGAACTTGGCAGAAGGGAAGCTTGGGGCGCACCGCAGTGGGGGAAGGGGCACCCGGGTGCTTGGAAGGTGGGAACGGAGCCAGGTCCCTAGACCTCCGCCTGCGGCGCCCGGGGTCGGCCGCGTCGGCCGGGCTAGTCCGGGGCAGCGCCGCGACCCGACCCTTCCCCCAGCGGGGTGGCGAGACCCCCCGGCTGGCGCTCGGCGCTGGGAGGCGTGTGTGTCGCTTTAAAAGCTCCCTCCCGGCGCGCGGGGCCGGCCCTTCCCTGGCAGCGCCGAGGCGAGCGGAGCCGAGCGAGCCGGGC